TTACTCACTTGACATACCCCCGCAACACTAGTCTACGTTTTTTGTATGCAAATAAGTCTGGATAAAGTCTGAAAGTATATTCAACCTCAAAATAGAGATACTCATATTTACGCACCCGTTAAGCGCGAACTGGGCCCCATCGCTGAAAGGGTAAAAATGTAGGTGTAAGATTTTCGCACAAAGCGAGAATGTTAAAAATAAATTTTCTGAATTTTTTAAAGTGGTTAAGTTGTCAATCCTTGCATGTGAAATTTACATAGCATATTGAGCATAAATGTCTAACACAGGTGTTTACTTTGACAGCTGATTTAGCAGCTTTTACCTTAAGAAAGTCGATACTTCTAAAAATCACAAATATTTGCTGTTCATTTGTAATATTCAACCGTAGTATTTTTGTCCATAAAGTAACAACAAACTGATGGGTTTTTGAAGTTTCAATTTAAGTCACACACACTTGCAAAAATTAAGAAATATGTTTTCTCAAATAGGAAACCAAAATGGAAGCAAAAATACAATAAATTTCCATTAAAAAGTTATGCTTACTACAAACAAACATTATTGAGGCAAATAACTCTGTTTAAAATACTATATAGTAGGTGAGAGAAGAATGTTATTGAGGGAATAGGTGAGTTGGCCGGAAAGCACTCGAGCTGATTTTTAATACTCCACCTTCAACACTACCGCTTTTAGGATAAACAACATGACCAAACAACGCAAGAAAAACAACAAAGCCATTTATCAATATATATTATATATATGTGCGACTATTCAACCAGCAGCTGCGCTGGATTTCAATGGTAACAACATGCCTTAGATGTCTAAAACGTTCCCACCTTTTAGAACTTATGCAATTGATTTTTTAAGGACTATTTTTATTTCTGAAGAGTTTTTCTTTTGCCTTTTACCGCCTTAATAAGTTGGCCTTTGGCACAATTCTAGCTCAAGCATGGCAAGCACACCAAGGCGTATACGTTATCCTCGATATTTTAGAGTGCTGCTTGTAAATGCCACTGACTTTTCATGGCTTAGTACATTATTTTAAGCCGTTTACAAATACACACATAAATACAAACATATATACATATATATATATATATATATTTGCTTATGGGTATTCCTGTGTGGTGAGCCATACAAATACATGACAAATAGTAACACATACTTATCGAGCATATGTGGGGATTAACATATAGAGAAAGATGTATGTATGTGTGTATATACGTTGCAGTCATTTTGTATATGTATTTTGTGCTTTGTCTATGTTTATGTATGTATGTGCATGCGTGATATTATTTGGATTCTGTTGCAGAAAATATTTGCGCTATAAATTATTTAAGACTGTCAGCAACAGCCCTGAGCGCTACAGGTGAAGAAGCCTTTGTCGAACATAAATACACTTGCTTATGTTTACGTGTTGAATGATGGAAGTTATTAAATTTTTCGCTTGATTAATGTGTGCGTAGGCATTTTTAGCACTAACGGCGAATTTTTAAAATGCAAAAAAATTTCAAACAAATCACTTTATAAGCAAAAAGTAATTCATGAAAAGAATAATGTTTCCTTTTTCAATTGGTCCCACGATTACCAAAGGTAAAGACGAAGTAAAATTCTATGCTATTGACGGCTTAGCGAGGAAAATATTTAAAAAAAAAATAAATAAAAAGTACCAGTAAAATTCGTAATATTTTCTAGACTTATATTGTAGAACATTTTACCAGAAAATAAATTAATGTCGAATAATTGAATTGAACTTCTCCAGGTAGACAGTGTCCCTGAAGATCCGGACACCTTTGATTCATTATTACTTTTATTGTTCTGGTTCATACTTAAACCCACTGTCCATCCACAAGCTGCGTTACTCCAGTTTTTTTTGTACCCCCCAACCATAGTAAAACTTCCTAATAGAATGCTGTGCTATCGAGGAGCAATCAAATAGTCAGACCTTAGCTAAATACCTCCCAACTGCTACAGGAGCGTTACCAGTTCGTCCCTGCCAACGTCGGGATACTGTGGTATCTATTATCAGTCGACAACAGCGGGGAATTTTGGGCCAACACAATCTCGGCTGTAATTTCGACAGTAGCCGCCTACAACACGATAGTAATTCTCTGAGGATAATAGCGCCATTGGGTGGTGATTAATTGAGCCCTCTTGGTGCAACTTCCATTCTGACCCAGTCAGATCTCAGTAGATCTTGTCCTTAATTTAGGTATATTAAATACTTTTAGATGTTTAAATTTATAAAATATTTCTACAAGATTTAGCAAATGGGTCCAATACTTCCAGGATTCTAACACACTTTCTGCCAATAAATTTCTATATAAAAATACTTTAGTAGCGCGGATACGTAATAGAAATTGTAAGCCTCTGTATTCACCGGAAACCTCAACTTAATCAAAACTCAATTATTTTCAACTCCTATTATGTATTTTATCCGTTTAGAAATCATAAAAGAATAACAAAAGGTATCTAATCACTTAACGGTAAAAAGTATTAAACTCAACTAAAAACCTTTCACATTTGCTGGTATTTGTAAATAAGAATAAACGGAACCCACACAACTACACAGCACGCACACCATAATTAGTAACTTCTTATACGTGTTAAGTTTTTTCGATGGCCAAATAACTTTAATGCTTGGACATGCGAACCATGCGTCTTGCTCGGAAGGGTAAGAAAGGTCAGGCACGTGTCCTCGCTTTTTTCTATGTTTTTATATTTTATTGTCCTTTTACTTTCACATCATATTTCCGTAATGATAACCGGTGAGGGCAATATTTATCGATAGGAGTTCACTTAGTAGCGATTTTCTTTTCTTTTGTTCAAAATCAGAGATTAAAATGTAAAAAAAGTGTATTTAAAGTTATATCTTAAAATATGAAGAACAATGACTACGGAGGTACATTTAATAAGCAAATCGACAAGCAGTAAATTAAGAACTTTATTTTATATTCAACTAGAAAATGAAAATTTTTTGATGTTTTCTCTTTCAAATTGATAGTAGGCGACACTATAATTATTTAATAAATATTTTTAAAGCAATTTCTACCTTTTTGAAGTAATTAGATAAAAATTATCTAAACTAACTGATTTTAGTCATTAATATAATTGATTACAGAAAATAATGTGGTCACATAGTCTGTTCGCATAGGCATCTACCGTGTAATGAGTATAATAGAACAGAGAAAGAAATATTAATAATTTATTTAAGTGAATGAGTTTTTACCTAAATGTGGGCGGTGCCATGCCCAACGTCTTATTTTGACACCGGCTCCTATAAAACCCGCTTTTGCCATCCTGGATGTAAAATTTAATGTCTCTGACGCATTTAGTTATTGATTTATCGCACTTTTAGTAGTTTTTAACAAAACCGTTATATGAGAACTGGGCGTGGTTATCATCTGATTTCACCTGTTTCACACTGTCGTCAGAGTTGTCGAAATGATTTGTGCTGTACAAATTTGAGCGATATAGTTTTAATGGCTTGGGAGATATATACATTAAACCTATTAGGAGGCGGGGTCACACAAACTTTTTAAAAATGTTCAAACCGCAGATACCACTCATAATTAATACGATTCGTGGTACCAAATTACAGTTTTGTATCTTAATTTGTGAGTTAGTTATGGCAATTTATAAGTTTTCGATTAATAACGTTTTGAGAGCGTGGCAGTTATGCCCATATACGAACGCGTCCTCCCTTTTTTGCCAAGGAATACGTGTACCAAATTTCATCACGATATCTTTATATTTACTCAAGTTACAGAGAGAAGGTCGGACGGACAGACAGTCATCCGGATTTCAACTCGTCTCTTCATCCTGATCATTTATATATATATAACCCTATATCTAACTCGATTAGTTTTAGATGATACAAACAACCGTTAGGTCAACAAAACTATTATACTCTGTAGCAACATGTTGCAAGATGAAAAGGGATATTCCTCTAATCATGGTATAGTAAGTCCATTTTTAGCTTTCAATACATTTTTTAGAAAATAGATTAGAATTTAGAAAAACTTGCAATAATAACAAAACAATTAGAACTCTAAGAAATTACTATCACCACTCTGGAAAGAAACTGGTTTATTGGGGAAAGGTGCTGTGATTAAATAAAAGAGGTTCAATACAAGTAGAGCTACACTAGTCGATCTCTCTTGCAATTGAAGACAAAAATAAGTTCCAGAAGGGCCAAAACTAAACTGTTTTATTCGAGAAGAATAAAGAAACATGCATGCTCTGTGTCTAAATAATAAGTTTTATGTACCCAAAAAAGAAGTTTACGTCTATCACAAAGCAAAGACGTCTATTTTTGACAGTTTTGTATAAATTTCAATCCAACACCCTTCTTCAAATCCGCGTACTGGAATTCTCATTCAAGTTGCATGAAATGAAATAATGAATTGTCGCGGTGAAGTATTATCTCGAATTAGAATAAGGAAGCAGTTGAAATCTTTATACAATTAGTTTGACATTATCGAATAAAGCCGATTATGATCTCTTTTTCTCTTTTATATAACAAAAATTCATTTATAGGTTTGTCGGCGGCAATCTTTACTAAAGACAGATTTTATTTTTTGAAATTGGTCTTAAACGAGAGATCAATTCATTTTCCTAGATGCGTTTATTATTTAATTAAACATTTAATAAAATAGTAAAGATTGAAGAGCCAATAAGAATAATGAACATGTATTGTAGTTGCGGTTTAAGATCTAGATATGTTTGAATCTCTGAGCGTTAAATGTTTCATTATATTACAAGACACAACCTTCTATATTTATCTTATAATTATAAATAACATAGACAAGTCCTTAAGGCTTTTCTTTTGCTTACATTCAAAAACTTATGTATTATATGCCTCACACTAATACAAAATTTACTTATACTTTCATATACATCTACAGATTTGTTTATGTGAGCACGGTTTCGCTCATCAACATAATACTTGCTACAAGTGTTTACCTTATTTATTTAACTTTTTTTGCTTTTAGTTCACTCACCTGTTGTTTTGCTTGTCGTCAATAAGCCATTTTCGCACAGGATCAGCAGATATTTAATTAGTAGTTGAACTAAGATACTGTGTTGTAGTAAACACATTGCCATCAAAGTAATTGATATCGCCCTCGTCGTTGATTGCGTCGTTAATAACTTATAGAAATGCTACACGCTCCGATTGGGCGGTGCCAATGCGGCCACAGCATCCAGTGCTGACAAATGTTGTTGTTATTGTGAGCAAAACAATTCACAATTATTGTTGTAATTACAAATGCACATATGTATGAACTTGTGAAACACAATGTGGGCGTTTCCTTTCGGGAATATTTAGCCAAACTTTTTTGCATGCAACTTCTACGAAGTTCCAAAATAACGATGTTGTTGTAATTATTTATTTATTTTTATATTATTTTTCATTATATTTCTTGACCACTTTTACACTTTTTTCGCTCACACACTTGCTTTCTTTTTTTCGTTTTTATAATATTAGGTAAAGTAAAAAGTTCGTTCGGTATTTATCTAAGAGATGGCGTTATTGTTCAAGCAAAGAGAAAATTCGCTATATTTTACAATTTTTCTTCGATCAAGGCGAAAAAGCAGCCAAAGCGATTGAAAATAATTAATTTAGTTTATGGGCCCGATACTGTAAATGAACGTGTAGCACAAAAGTGGTTTGCTAGGTTCCGTTCCGGTAATTTCGATGTCAAAGATGCACCACGCGTCGGGAGGCCTGTCGTCGAAATTTGCGATAAAATCATGAAAATAGTGGAAACAGACCGTCACGTGAGCACTTATTTAATTGCTGAGGAACTAAAGATAAGCCAGAAAACCGTTTGGAACCATTTGCATAACCTTGGATTCAAAAAGAATCTCGATGTTTGGGTGCCACACGAACTAACAAAAAAATCACAACAAAATCGACCCGTTTCTGAAGCGGATTGTGAACGGCGATGAAAAATGGGTCACTTACGACAACATCGAGCGCAAACGGATGTGGTCAAAGCTCGGGGAAGCGGCCCAGACGGTGGCCAAGACCGGATTGACGGCCAGGAAGGTTTTGCTGTGTGTTTGGTGGGATTGGCAAGGAATCATCTACTGCGAGCTGCTCCCCTATGGCCAAACGCTCAATTCGGCCCTCTACTGCCAACAACTGGACCGCTTGAAGGCAGCACTCATCCAGAAGAGGCCATCTTTGATCAACAGAGGCCGAATCCATCACGACAACGCCAGGCCACACACGTCTTTGGTGACTCGCCAGAAGCTCCGGGAGCTCGGATGGGAGGTTCTAATGCACCCACCTTATAGTCCGGACCTGGCACTAAGCTGTTCTCTAGCAATAATTAAGATACTGAACTTCCAAATCGCAAATAAGAAATACAACAACACAGATCAGCTACTGAAAGAATTCAGAAGAGAAATACTCATATTCGGATGTCAAATCCAAGAGAATTTTTTCGATGAGAGTAGATTATGACTGTTAAAACGGTACTATTTAGAACAAGATGCATAATTTATTCTGTATTCTAATGCTTTTGCTAAATGGTATTCTTGTATTTCACGGTTGCAATAATTCAAATTCTTCAGATAATGCACATTTATTTGTATAAGAGACGCTAAGTTTGATTGAAAAATATTTTTAAATACTAAATATTCAATACCAGAACAGGGATCCTTGGAAAATACGTTACTTGAGGAACCATAAATATAAAATATATATAAATATAGGTATATTCTAAACAGGTAATATTTTTAGATAAATGAAATTATGTGTATTATGTAATGTTTACTGTTCTTTTTTTTCTCTATTAATTTTTTAATGGTTCCACACGATACATATAAAAATGCCTAGGACCCAGAAGTAGTGAAAATATCTGCTATTTTCGGTTTAAGGTGTAACCGAACTAAATCTATTCGACTGATTACGTGAGTCATATCTCTCTTTTCACATTAAGGATGTAGTCTGATTTAGCGGTAATCTGTTTCCGAACCAGAAAACAGATCTCTTATGTATAAGTATATGAAATGTGTCAATGTCAGACTGAATCTTTTGCAAAAACGACATCGAGTAGAGATCGCAATTTCACTGAGGGCCATCCCAACCGAGGCGTATAACAAGGGTATGAAAAATTGGATTAAGTGTTGACATGCTTGTATTGACTCTGGAGCGATTAAAGCGTATTAAGTACGTGAAAATGTGTTTTTTTGTCCGTCCGGGTGTTATTTGTTTGTCAAAGGACGTTAAATAGCAAATATAAAAATGTATAAAAAGCAAAACGATAGGTAGAATTTCAGATAACCATAGCTATAGAATAATTTAAATTTCCTTTTTTTAATAATACCACATACTTTTAGTAAAAACTAAATTTAAACTATAGGCGTTTCTATAAAATATCAGAGAATAGTCTGTTTATCCCACATATTTAAAAAAAGCTTCTCTGAAAGATAAGCAACTGTTTACTCTGGAAGGAAAGCTACCACTCAAATACAGATGCATGCCTATACATATATGCCATATATGCATATACATACGTATATAGATATACATCCGTAAAGATATATGTTTGTGCCTGCATTTGATAGCGTATACTGTCAATGAAATTTGAGCGCAAATAAAATGCTTCCTTTATTCACCTTCAGGCACGTACTTGTATAATAATCACTCAATCGTACACACGTACATACATACTATATACATGTGTAGGTGAAAGTTAGAGATTTATGATAGCATAAATATTAGCCATCATCTTCAACACACTCAAGCTTACACACATATACATATACAAGTTTCCGTATGCACATTGGTGTCAGAGTTGAGAGAGTGAAATTGGATAAAACCTTAAATTAATAAAATAAAAAGAAGTAATCTAAAGCATATTTGCATATTTTATGAACTTTCACTTTACCAACGAGTAATGAGCTTTGGCCTCCAAAAATAAGATTTTTAAGGATGACTTAATGTTGGCATATCCGAAAAGAGGGATGTGAACGTGGCATTGTCCGTTTGATGCTTAGATTTTGAGCTTTAACTTAAGATGTTTGGAAAAAGTTATGCGGTATGGTAGATATTTTCTGAAAAAAAAAAACTGATTGACGGTTTATAAAATATGAAATTTATGATACGACGAGTTCCTTGAAGTCAATGTTACTAGTAAGTACATTGACATAATGTGCGACAGCGTAAAACTTAAAAGCTATAACAGTATATATTTAAAGCCGCTCTGACATGAACACGAAATAGCTGATGGCATGATTTTCAAAATTTCCAAAAACTAAGTTTAGCTTTCAGAATGAGTACTCTGTAAGATCCGTAATAAATATTTCGTCCTACGTGTAAATAAAAATACGTAAGAGTCCGTAGTAATCATCCGTAATTTACGTGAAGGCAAGTGTGCCGTAAATGTCTCTTTCAAAATTATTTCAAACATATAATTTGTAAAGTCTCACGAAGGCTAAACGAGTATAATCTTTTATAGGTACTTATAGTCTTCTATAGTTTAGATAATCAAAAGTTCCATGTACAGTATTGATCGGGCTTTGTTCAGAAAATATTCCAATGAATTTTCAGCACCCAAGTCATGAGTTCTTTGCCAAATTATATGATGACTCGAATTTGGTTTTGCCAATATTTTGCTTACTGTTCTTCTCTTCCACTATTCTCTTGAACCATATGATAAATCTTAAAATTAATTGTATCAATGGAAGCGAAGTGTCTTTCTCACGTTACCACATCAAAACACCAACAATTAAGACCCTTAAAATCACATATTATCGATCAAATTGGAGGGCCAAAGTAATGTATAAGGAAAACTCTACCACACCACCAGCGATTTGATAAAATGAACTTTCGACAAATGATTTCAAAAATAAGCAGCGCAGACAGCTTTCTACGCACCCTAAATCTATAGCGAATTCGGAAAAGTTGAATTAAACAATACTTAGCTACTATCTGATCATGGCGACTTAAAGGAATATCATGAATGAATCATAATTTTCATAAAAAAATAATTTTTTTAAATCGTTGATACAGACATAGGGAAGAGCTTTCACCAAGAAAAATAAAACAAGAAAAAAAGGTGCAACTTCAAAGGTGCATTTTTACAGCATACAGTACAGCAATACAGTAATTATGTAATATTGTAGTCCGATTTGAACAATATGTTCGGAGATTGTAGCCTTGACTTAGACAACAAGCTTTGTAAAATTTTGCCGATATCTTGTCTTGTATGTGTTCTATATAAGAATTTGATTTTGAGCGGGCAGTTTTTATGACAGCTATATGGTATAGTGGTCCGATAACGGGGAATTCGACAAATGAACAACTTCTTGGGGAGGAAAAGATGTGTGTGAAATTCCAAATCGATATCTCATAAACTGAGAGCATAGTTCGCGTACTAAAAATACGTCACAGACTATGTATTTGAAAAGTGTTTTCAATTCGAAATACGAATTAGCCCTAAAAATTTAACTGGAATTAAAATGTACTTGGTCACTGCTAACTTTGTGATCACAGCTGTGCATATGTACATACATATGTATAATTTGTATGTTATATTTTTGGTAGCTATACTTGTATAAAGGTGTGTGGGTAACACTCATCAGTTATAGCGAAGTTTATATGAGGCAACAACACACTAGTAGTGCTCCTGTTGGTCTCCACAAAACCCTAGTAGCTTCTTACTTCCTTTTTTTCCATCTACGCGCGTTTGCGGTTCAACTTCTGCTTTTTAAGTTATTTTCGTTTTTTAACGCTATTTATTTAAGCATACATATATGTATATTTCATTATATATATGCATATACATTTGTATGTAACATACATTTAAGCAAGCGCTGCTGCTTTGCCTGCGTACGGCGTTCGGCGCTCATCGAATGCCAGGATACACAAGCTCAGCAAAACTCAGCGCGTTCTGCGTGTGCCAATGTGTAAGTTCGTGAGTTTTACGCTTTTTTGGCAATTTCATTTTGCTTTCAGCATTCTGTACGTCGTTTGGACTTGTGGTGTACCAAGGTTTCGACTGTTATTTTTTCGAAATACTCTCCTCTTCACATAGTAGTGTATATATCTTCTTCGGGTTTTATTTTTCTTCACATATAATTCTTCTGAAATTTGCTAGCAAATAATTGTCGTGTTTTTTTTTTGGGTTTTTTTTATTTTTTGCCACTCTATCATGTGCGTCGGTTGCGCTCAGTACCGCCGTTGTTGACTGTTGCCGCTGCTGCTTCATCGGTTTTCGTTCTTTGCTCAATGCTTTTGTGAGCTTTTTAGTTTCACATACGAAAAAGCATCAAAAATAAAAAAAAAGAAACCAGCACAACAAAAAGTAAACACAAGCAAAAAATAATTATGGTATAGGTAAAAAAACTGTGAAAATATATTTCAAACAAAAAAGACAAATTGAAAT